ATATATATATATATATATATATATATATATATATATATATATATATATACAACAGAGGGTATTCCTTATCAGACTGAGGAATATGACATGCACGTACCAGGAGAAGTGATAGTGTAAAGCCGAGATATTATGCTTTTGTTGGTGTTGGTGTTTGTTTATGTTGAGAAGCATGAAGAACCTATTTGTGATGGCTCTGTATGGTTTGTCAGCTGACGAGGCGAACCATCGTGCTATTTTGAGGCATTCAGTGAAAAGTAACGGGATAAGGACCAGGTCATATCATTTAAGTTGTTTTGAATTTCTAACACGTCTTTCAGAGTTGATACTCCACACCGTCATTGTCAGAGTATTAGAATGTAGATGGAAAATTGCTTAACATGGAATGATAAGAAAAATGATGAAAACGGTACCTGGTGGAACACCAGAAGGCACTGAACTAGTGTACAATTCCTTGGTGGTGAAACTTGCGGGATACCTTCGACCTATGAGGTCGTGGATCACGCTGCAAATGTTCGGTTGAACCATTTCGATCAGCATATTGAGCAGTACCAGTCTGTCAAGACTACCAAATGCGTTTTTCCTGCCTAAGAATTCCATTCCGATGATCTTGCATTCCTTGTTCGAAGCTGAAATCATTCACTGTGCGAGATAAGCAACGACATTAAGTGCGGAGCGCAAAGAGTGATATGCAAATCAATGCATGCGTGTGACGAATATTTATTGGGGATAATTTCTCTCACCCGACCGCTGATTATACATTAGAAGTGGTGGATAACATTGCCATCAAGCATAGCCTATTAGAAAGTATTCCTGGGGTAAACCTCAACAGAAGGTCTGCAACCAAATAGGGCTAGTGAGACTCACCGACTGTTGATGAGAGTTTTGTATTTTTGCGGGAATTCGCTTTATATTTATCATCGTATACCATGAAGCATCATTTCGTTCTGTCGTCCAGACGCATTTAGGACTGCTGGAGTTTTTCTGTTTCCAATATTCCGAATCCGGTAATTTTTTTGTGAATTGTAGGTGAAGGAACGCTACTACAAGGACGTAAAAACCGCGGGACCAACATCTCGCATCCTCGAGGGTCTGGATTTGGAAGATGGCTATGTGTCTGGCAAAAGCCCTACGATGTCTCCTGGTACCATGAGTCCCCGTGGGACATTATTACGTCTGGATCCGGCCAATCCACCAACTGTTGAACCCGGACACGTGGTCGTGGTGGGCGCAGCCAGCAAGGGCATTATTAATAGGAATCAGCGTCACAATGCTGGCATCTATCAATCCGTGTATTCGCCTAATCCATTCGATCGTGTTACCGACGATGACTTGAAACGCTATCGCGAAAATATGGATCGCAAGGCTAAGGGTTTACCTTCCCTGGAGGAGGAGGAAGCGGCGGCGCGAATCGAGGAAGCCCGCCAAGCCGCTGAAGTCGCGCGACAGGCCATGGAAGCTGCCGCTCGCGAGGTCAAAACAGAATCACAAAAATGTAGGTTCTGGTGTGTATGTCACATCAGACAGTGGATGCAGTGTGTCATGAGAGAAATCACAACTATTTTTGGTATAAGTTCTTAAGCTAAATAAGGTTGAAGCGTTGTTCGTGATCTAACATTAGTCCTCCTCCCGTGGATTACATGCTTTTTAGTATCAATTAGTCCGATCAAAATAAGGAAAAAGTCGAGAACTTCATGGATAGGTATCGGACTAGAACTCGCCAGTTTCAGGGTAAGAGCAAGGTTTCATCTTCCGATACTTACCATTACATCACTTTGACACCGTCTTTTATGATTACATTCTGTAGTTGAAAAATTGATGCACAGTTCGTTTTACCCATTGACCATCGTGTTATCCTGCAAAAGCTGCATTTCGATTATTCAGAGATTTTTTTACTCACGCGGATTCGTCGTAGTTCGAAACTTAAGGGATAATCGTTTGCAACTTACGTATGTTGAAAGATTTGGTTACATCCGGTTTCAATAAATTCTATATTTTACATTTCAACATATACAGCTGTTCATTACCATAATTTTGTAGTGTTTATACGATTCAGTCTACCAATATTATAACCGACAGCTCGTCCACGCTTGGTTGGCTTTTCTCGAGAGTTCTTCGGACCACACACGCTAGATCAAAGCACCACTCTGGCTGACGTCCCGACAAGCATTCTTTGCTCAAGCTCCACTTCCGCCTGTCTCACTGATACAGACCGACTACATAGCACTAGCCACTCAGCATACAGCTCTCATTTAGGCTTGGAACAAGCTCCAGATTCAGATTTAATACCGGCTCTGTTCAATCCCAGTTTGGGCTCGCAAAGCGCACCTCAAGATAGTGTTGGCGATTGTAATCTTCCTGCACCGGACTTTCAAACTCAATGTTCGAATTCGCTTCATCGTGGTTTGTTGATGAGACGTCATAGTGCAGCGCGGTTCTGGTATTGGCCACAAAAATTCACTGTACGTTCAACACCGGTCACTATGATGGCTCCGTTACAGTCGAATGGACTGGCGGAGTCGGTTCGTTTGACGGAGGAGCGCACGGTGCTGGGCCCCAGGTTTCTTAAGCGACACAAAACTATCACCGGTATTTCACTTGCGCAGTCCCAAAATCCTGTTGAGGTCACTTCGCCATGTGTTGCTAGTGCTGTATCAACCACTGCTGTCCCCATTCAATTTGAAGAGTCTAGCTCAACCTTTTGGCGATCGCGCGGCGTTGTCCATTTTCGACACAGTATAAACTCAACTGTCTCACCTTGTGGACCAGTGCATAGGGGTAATGTGTTTTCAACTAAACGTTGACAAGTTAATTTGTTTTGCGTTTTTTGTTATCAGTTTTTGGATTTTTGTTGTTATTTTGTTTTCATTTATCCACACATAACTATCTACTTCTCTTTAGATCCGGCCACAACCAGCGCCGAAGGCGATACTTCCCATTTAGGACACTCGTGCACCAGTGGTGCTGAGGCCAGCCACGATGATACAGAAAAAGAGGTGAGGCACAGCTTGTTTTAATTAAAGTTTCTCGAATGCATCCCTGTTGGTTTGAGTAGAGTTTACGAGTGTTCCTTTTTTCCTTAGCTGTTTTTACGGTCGTTGTGAGGCGTTGTAAGGAATTCGATGAAAGAACTTTCCGTGGATAGATAGCACAGTTAATCTATCGTATTCACTTTTAAGCCTTTCAAATGTGCCCATCCTTGTCATTGGACTGCGTATATTATGTTCTCAACTCTGTAGCATCTCAGCTCTACGTCCCCGTTTCTGTTTTCCCGTTATAGGTTCAAAAAGAAGACGGAGAGGGTGGTGACAAGAAGAAAAAACGTCGTTTCAAAATGCCTTCATTTGCACGGAGGTCGAAGCCCAAGAGCAGAAAATGATTTTCGCACATAACAATCCGTCCCAACTCAATTCCCGTTATCCTGTTTCGATCATTTCCCCATACTTTGTCCTTCGTTTGCAACCTGATTACTTTTGGTTCTTTTCCTGCTTTTTTCGTTTTCCGCTTTGCCTATTTCCGGCAATTGGCCGGGATATTGATCATGCTTGTTGTGTGGAACAAGATCAATGTTTCCCTTATTCACTCGACCCATACAGTGCTGCGTGATCCCCTATCCCACGCCTGTTCATATTACTGTCGATTTTATTGATCGATCGACATCCATTCAAGTGCTTTAGTTGTTCTGTTGCTGAAACCGAGTCAGTGGGGTGCTCTGGGGGCTTGTTGTCCAATTTTTACACACCCAATGGCACGTTCCTCTTCGTCAGTCTGATTCCACACTACAGCCAGCTAAAATCACAAAGAATTTTTCGCCAGATTTCTCTAGCTGTGCTTTACCACTCATATCTCAACACAGTTCCGCGTAGGGTGATCATCTTCGAACAGATTAACTCACTATTTCCTTACGCGCGAAGCACCTGTGGCTCATGCATCACCACGTACACACCGCACAATGTTTTACATTTTCGATTGTCACCTGCTCTGACTGTAGGCTTTCGAATATATCGTTGATGCCACTCTTATTTCGGAATCAGCGTTTGTGTTCGTACTTTACCGGTACCCTGTGATTTCTACCACACTGCTGCTCTCGCATTGATCCATTCGCAAGAGAACATTGCTTCCTTTAATCACGGCCCAGCGCTTTGTGCTTCATCTTGAACGAGTTGAAGTGTTACCACTTTTTTCCCTCTATCTTCGAGTTGTATCGTAGTCGTTTGTTCATTACTTGAAGTTTGTTTGCCCATTTGGTTGCTTGTATGTTCATTTTTCCTTTTTAGCTTATTGCCCATGCCATACGTATTCATTTACGAAAACTGGGTCGAGTGGTTTATGTAAAACATGCGGCTGCAATACAATCAATCGCGTAATCTGATGGTATCGTTTTTACCCGTATTGGCTTATTTCTATCCCGCGAGCTTTCCTTATCACCTGAATGTATGTGCGAGTTTTTTTTCTGTGTGTGTAATGTGATGGCCATTGCGCCCGTGTTTGGAATTTTTATATAACAGCGTATTTCGGTTTGATTTAAGTGCTCAGTTCTTACAGTTTGTGGGCACTGGACAAGTTACCGTCAACCCGAGTCACGATGAATGGGCTGCCGTCCTTTTTGAGAGGAACCACACTGATTTATCCAGTTGATGATCAACGCTGGAGGATGTTGATATATTTGTCATTTTAATCCGAGTAGTACAATCGGGGTGAAGACTTGAAAGGATTTCCCATCGTTTCTTAAGGCATCAGTGAGTCTTCTACTGTAGATGTTGTACCTCAGCTTAAGGCTCTAAGGCCGAACATTACAACCCAACTAATCGCTTAAAACTTATTCACGTCGCTTCATCTTGAACTCAGTGACTACTGAGCAGCCATTTGAAGTATGCTTTCACTAGCTTACTCTTCTTTAGACGGCATTTCCATATAGTCAAACCGGTTTGCCTCAGCCTACTCATGAGTAGCACGAATGCGAACATCAAAACGCAAGCCATAAGGCCTTAACGTTGGATACGAAATTAAGTCATTGGATATCTCTCACTAGTATGTTTGAGAACGGTTTTCATGTAATTTTGATTTTGAGTGGTGAAAAATGGAACCACAAATTTTTGAATATCATCCCCATAATATCATCTGTAGTATGCAATAACCTTGAGCCTTTCCTTTATTCTGTTCTATTATCCTTTCACAATAATATGTATTCAAGGGGTCTGCTGGTTGAATACTTGGGGATGGTGTTTTTTTATAGGAGTTTGACCCGAGGCATATGGCATGCTGTTGCCCATTGATCAAAGTAAATGACGGATCCGGGTTTAATCCACCTTTGAATGACAGGCGGTAGAGCTGTTGCAGATAAATTATCCATCTGCTCACAATTTTCTTTTCCCTCTATTCGGTAGTACGTTTCGAACAAACCGTCTCACCCCGGTCTTCCACAATCATTTGCTCTCATCATCACCTATTTCGGCGATTCCCGGCCGGCTATTTATTTGTTGACTTAAGGTATTTTATATGAATATCCTGTGTCAAAACACTGCTATGTTATCGATCTTTCAGATGAGCTGCACCTGCTTCCTATCAAGCTGACAGGGATCTCCAGCAAAAAACCAATCGGTTGCACCGAGCATGTAGATCTTTTCGATGTTTCGAAATAGGTACCCGATCTCATGGATGTGGTTTTCTTACAATGGTGCCCTCGGTAGTACTAGATTCGCGCTTCTTGATCAGAGGCTGTTAGTAATTTATGCCTTGTTTGTTGGTGTAAGATTCCGTTAAGTACGCATTCATTTGAAAAACTCATTTTCCTCATTCGTTCCAATCCGAAAGTACACGATAAACGAAGCAGTTCTGAATGAATCTTTTGATTTGGCTGCGTCAACCGTATTTTCATCCCTTTAGCGGAATTATAGAACACGGAAGTTCCCTCAGTGAACTCACTATTTCCATATTTCTTGATCCGAAAACAGAATACGAATCAGTTGTTCGCTCCGTATTATCTATCGCTGCCCCGTCTTCAACTTTGCGTCGAACGAGCTTATTTTTCTTACGTTAATTGTG